CAAGTGTTCATCCCAGCCCATGCTGTTACTGTTTGTTACTGTTGTTACTGTTGTTCAGCGGCCAGCAAGCAGAAAACGGCAAAAAACCCGGGTAAAACCCGAGAATACCCGGGATTTTCCAGGTATTTTCGGGTATTACCCGCACTGGACGCTGGAGATCGTCTCGTGGGTCACTGCCAGGCCTTCCTTATTGTTGTTCAGCCGGCCTAACGTTAGCTACTGTTGTTGGGGAGCCCAACTGTTGTTCTGTTGTTACTGTTAACACTAGCAACACTGTTCAGCTCTTAACGTTTGACAGCTCTACTGTAAGATGGCCGGGCTCGTTGTGCGAGTATATGGGACACGATGTCTCAAATATGAGGGGTTTTGACTCCTACCGGCTCCTGACGCTATCCCTGGCAGCTCTAATGACCAGGATCAGTAGTGCTATGATAGAGGCTGCCCATACTAGCGCAGGAGCTGCCACACTCGCCCGGACCGTCCCCCTCTGGGGCCGGTTCCGCAGCCCGCGAGAGCCGACAGCGGGGCCGTGCCGCGGGTGCCTACTGCCGAGTGCCACAAACACTGCGCCGTCCCGCCACCACCTACAGGCTGTCTTGTGTGATGGTTGGGATGTCCAAACGCCACCATCTTGGCTCTTGCGACCTCAAACCCGCGAGCTGTATGGGTGGTCCTGACGTCGACAGACGCCCGAGGACCACGGTGAAGCTGAGCCGGAACGCGTCGACAAGTCTCGTCTGAGCCCGTGGCGGTCGCCGGCTGAGTCGCCGTGCACGGCCCGGTACCTCAGGCGTCACCTCCGCAGCCTCAGGTCTCAAACTCCACCACCGCCGCCAGGACGCCGTCGGTGGCACGCTCGGCGGCGAGTTTGTGGCAGGTCCACAGCGAGCGCGGCATCGAGCCTATTCGGTCTGGTCGGTTAGGCGCACTCCCTGGGTGCCAGGGAGTGCGCCGAACGCGCGAGCGGTGCGTCCTGGCAGCCCGCGCTGGCTCCGGAGCTGCCACAAACTCGAGACACGCTTTTTTGGGACATTTTCGACGCTTTTGTCCCATATACTCGCACAACATGCCGCGCCGACGGTCTTGTGTGGACTGTGGAGACTGTTCGTCGTGTCGTCTACTTGTTCGTCTTTCTCTTTTTTCGGACGATCGTTGATCTACAGTGTACAGCGTGTCATGAGGCGTGCCATGCATGCCACTTATTTACACGTGATACAACGGACGGGAGCCCTGGCAACCCCGCGCGCGGCCCCGGCTGTCCGGCGCAAGCGCAGCTTAGTACTCGGCCCGGTCTCGCGGACGGTACCCCATCGATGGTACCCCACGGCCAGAGAGGAGGCAGATGGTCACGTAGAGCAGCAGCCCCGGCGGTCCGATGCCGTTGGTGAGGAGGAGCGAGGCCCACGTGAAGCCAACGTCCCGCTCCAGGCTGTCCAGCCAGATGGCGCGGCCGACGAAGAGGTCCCAGATGAGAACGTGCGGCCACTCCTCGGCCACGAAGTCACGCACCTCGAAGAGGCGCACCATCCCGTCCAGCTGATTCTGCGCCGGGTCGAAGACGTCCGCGAATATCTTGA